GCTCTTAGGTTGGAGGCCATGGCTCTTCCCAGACAACCCAAAACACTCTAAATGAAAACCCCTTAAATTTAGAACCTCTAATTAAGGTGAAAACCTTCTAATCAAGGTCTTTTCAATAGACCTTAATTAGAGGGTTTTCAAGGGTATGTTTTTCTACATAACAAATATAGTGTTCTTGTTGATAATGACTCATAGGAGCTCCTTGTGTCATGTCAGGAGCTCCTTGCTGTGAGCTGTGCAAGTTTGTGTGGAATTTGTGTTTGGCCAGGCCAAGGAATACATGTTGCAGCCTTTTCTTTCCCAAGCTTTAGGCCAGCTGTGTGTCACCATGTCTGGCCAAGGGAAACTTGGCAGAGCATCCACTTCCTGCAGCCAGGAAGATGTCAACAAGCTCCTAAGGGAGAATTGTACCAGCTTGGGAGATGGCTACAAAGACACGAACTTTGCCATGGTGGTAGCTTCCTATGAGAGTTTTTTGCTGGCCTTGCTGTCAAAGACACCCAGGGTCAACAAAACTCTTTTGCAGACTGCTGTCTTGAAGACCTTTGAGGGCACCAGTGTGGATGAAGCGAAATATTTTGGCAGGCAACTAGCTTCTGCTTTTTGGTTGAATGCAGAAGTAAAAAAAGAGCATCACCAGTGGTGCCAAAACCCATCCTGCTGTCAAAAGGGTGATGGATGCCATGTCTAAATGGGATCACCTGGAGCCTTCCAGTCACCAAGTTGCTGCTCCCAAGCGTTCATTTTCCCAAGCTTCTTTGCCTGTGGCAGCGGCTACTCAGTCTGCCAGCAGCAGCAAAGCTGAAGCTAGCAGCAGTAGCAAAGTGAATCCCTATGAGCTTTATGGAGTGAGCCCACCTTCCAAAAGGAGAGCCATGAAATCCCAAGTGTTTGCAGTGGATTATTCTTCTCAGGAGGGGAATGCCTGCCCTGTTGCAGACATGGAAGTAGCTCCTGAACACGAGAATGGAGACACTGCTGCTGTGCTTTTGCAATTCTTCGACCAGGAGAAGGGTGTCATGAAGAGGCAGCTAGCCAATGGTGAGACATTGGAAGCCCAATGTGTTCCTGGGGACAAAGGCTTTTTGCTGTACCAATTTGGCAATGAGGAGCAGTGTGAGTCAGATACTCCCAACCTGGCATTGCACATTGTTTCCAAACCGATGAAAAGGCCAGCCTCTGCAGCTTTGAAGAAGCCTGCAGCATCCTTGGCCCTGGAGGAGCCTGAGGCAGTTGCAGAACCTGCAGCCTCTGTGTCAAATGAGGTGCACCTGTATCTTGATAGTCAAAAGCTGCAGTGATGCTTGTCAAAATGCAGAATGTCTGTTTGCCATGAAAAGTCTTTGGCAGCTACCAAAATCTTTGGCAGAGAATGCACTAATGAAGAAACCAAGAAAAAGCTGTTGGAAATGATATTTGAAATGCATTGTTTCCAAAAGTCATGTAGTGCACAATCTTCAAACCTTGTGTTGTTCACCTAAAATCTTATCAAAATAGTTCATGGCCACAAACATGTATATATTTAACTTCTTTTAACTTCATTTAACTTGGAAAATGAAAGCATTTCCAATTAAATTGTGAAAACCAGCCCAAGTTAAATTAACTTCATTTAACTTGGCCATTTAGTTGCAAATGCTTTCATTTTCCAAGTTAAATTAACTTCATTTAACTTACCATAAGTTAAATTAACTTCATTTAACTTACCAAAATGAAAGCATTCCCAATTAAATGTATAAGTTAAATGAAGTTAAATGGACCTAGATAAATGAAGTTAAATGGTTGGTCTTTGTAGAAGCCCTAAATTATTTATATACCTCCTAATCCCAGGAGGTTTTTTTAAACATATCAACCATTGATTATTGACCTCCTAGTTGAGGAGGTATTTTTTTGGTAGCTCTTGCCCAACAAGGAGCTTTATCATAAGCAACACCTTTTTTTCAAGCTGAGATGGCTTTGGAAGATATGTGAGAAGATATTCAGTTCTCAGTATCTTTGGCCCCAGGCTCTGGCTTAGGCTCCTCATTGGGAGATTCCTCAACCTCATTGGCAGCCTCATTGGGAGCTTCAGGGGGAACGCCCCCCCCATTGGGAACTTCTGCAGTGGCAGCACCAGCTGGCGCAGGCACTTCTTCCGGTTTTGGCACAGCAGGAGAAGGGCCACCACCTCATATGCATACATGAGCATTGACCATGAATATCTTATTTATCATAAACCTACTGATTCATATTATATTTCTCTATGTATGACCTTTAGCCTCTGTCTTTGTCCTGTTGTCAGAGAAGCTGCCTGGGAACAATGTGGACCAGAGGTGCAAAGCTTTGCATGTCAGTATGAAGAACTACTACAAGGAGTATGCCATTGATTCCCAAATGCCTTTGCTGAAGGCTTCCATGCTTTACAAAGACAAGAACAAGTCTTCCAGTTCTACTTCTCCTAAGTTGAGAGCCAAAGCAGGAGA